AGGTGTGGCCAAATACTTTTGTCCGTATAGTTAATATACTCTCTATAAACCATTACATCATGAGAGTGACAGCTGCCACACCTTGATGGTGGAACCGTTTGTTATAATTTTCCATATATTGTTCTTTACCTTTTTGAAGGTCTTCCCTGTAAAGACCGGTCCCTCCAACCTTTCTTCCCATGATGCTATCTTCTGACACCAACATGTTCCCCAACAGGAAGTAAGTGGTCATCTGGCCTTTACCCTTCACCTCAATCTGCCCACGCTCTTGTATGTTGAACCCTGCATCCTTTAACTCACTGAAAAGGGATGGGGGTGGGAAGAGCGGTTGAGTAGGGGCACACAGAGGGACACAGAAGTGTAATAAATTAACATTTTCTATAGTTAAAAGTGCAATGTGTAATCCTGGCCATATGCCCAAAATTAATAGTAGGCAGCCTCCCCATCCTCAATGCAGTGACACTGTTTAAGATTGTTCACAGTTAGATGCATAATAAACCTTGCACTGTCCTTAAGGTATGTGTGTATATATATGTCATATATAGCAAACTTTCCAAACTTCCAGTTTTCCCTGATCACATTACAGTAATGCCAAGTTGTTACAATATGATTTGTGTTTATTTGCGTACTCACGTGAGTAACTATGGTCTGCTACTACTATGAACTACTACCAGTTAGGCCAAATTTACAGCTGTACATTGTATTCATAAAAGAAAAAAACAGACACCATATCTCTTAAATATGAGTTATTACTAGAAAGGTTGAGGTAGCCTAGTTATGAGTCATTGCTAATTACTAGGTTACAGATAAGAACGTGGGCTTAATTTGCTTATTTCCTTCTTGGTATGAAACACTGGGAAATATTAATGCTATTTAATGTGGATGGCATTAATATTAACAGGCACAGGCAAGTTGTTGGGATTGTTGTCCTGCTGTAAGACACTGTGGTCAAGGCAGCCGAAATTTGCATTTATGTGGTCAAACCAGCCTTCTTTATATTCAAGAAAACAAGTTATCTAACATTTATGGTAATTGCAATGACACAGCTTTGGGGAAATGTTGGTAGTGACTACAATAGTCTCATAATTATGGGACAGATAACCTCTTTTAAGGCAGTAGTGTGCTGGACCTCGAGGCTTGACACATGATAGAGGAGACACAACTGGAGCAGACCTGCATAGACTTCAGGAAGCAGGCTCAGTTGTGTGATTATTGTGTGTGCAGCAGTCAAAAGAATAAAGTCGTCTTGTTCAACTATCCCTGTGGTTGGTCTATGTGCTGGGAGAACCCTCGTTAGTAGCGAGTCGTGCTACAGTAGTGTAGTGCTTTGAGTCATCAGAAGACTAAAAATTTGTATTCTACCTGTGGAATTAAGTGTTACAGAGTTAAGAGTCCCTGCCTCTGTTGTAGGTCATAACAGTTTGCTGGGGGTGATACACCTGCATGCACACACACACCTGTATGTGGAAGAGCTCAGGTGAATGTGGTCAGGGAGTCCATGACTTTCCATCCTGGAGGCAGTGTTAACAGTGTCTCCAAACAGGCAGTAGCGAGGCATCTTCTCCCCTACCACCCCAGCTAACACTGGACCAGTATGGAGACCCACACGAATCTGAAACATATGTCACACCATGTCAGCACATACATTTTAAGTGGAGTACACAAACACAATAATGGTCTTCATTGTTATATAAACCAGTAGCAAATGTGTTATCCTCTCCAGCCCTGCTTGTTGCTTCTGTTATTATACTGTTTTAGGAGGCAGGAAGTGTGTTTATGCTCATCTGGATACAGAGTTTACCTGAGCAAGCTGCTTGACTGTCTTCCAGTTTGGTTTTACACTAGTTGCACACAGTTACCCACCCAAAACCTCATAGTGACTGCCCCCTGACAACCTTAACTATTTAAAGATAAAGTATTAAACATAAAAACCTAATAAAAATTTGAACAAACTCCACAGTAGCACAAAAAAAAAGAATGAAATGTGGACTATTAAACATCAGGTCTCTGTCTTCTAAAGCTAAGCTTCATGATTCAGGAGGTTTTTTATTATATGTACAGTAAGAAACACAAGGTTTGTACGTACAATGAAAGTCTATCTTTGGCCGACTCCCTGAGGCAACAAGTAGAAGAATAAAATATATACATACCACTTACAACTTAAAGTGCAAAACATTGTACAGTAAACAAAGAAACCTGAGTAGTACGCTGTTCTAGTTAATGAATTAATATCAGATAAAGATATAGATTTACTCTGTCTTACTGAGACCTGGCTGTGTCATGAAGAATATGTATCTAAATAAATCCATATTAATACTCACATTTCTTAAAACAACCTGCTCGTCTGTACCTGGACAGCAGATGTCTATCTGATAGTGCTGTAGCTAAATTTAAGGAGGAGATTCCATCTGTATTTAATTCAATGTCATGTCTCAATATAACAGAGGACTCCTATGATAACCTTAGTCCCTTCCAAATTGATCATCTTGTTAATAGTGGTGCAGGCTCACTGTGAACAACACTAGACTATATTGCCCCTCTGAAAAAGAAGATATTAAAACATAGGAGGTATAATCAGGAAACCTGCCAATTAATGGAAATTTGAAAGGAAATGCCATTCTATCAAGCTGGTAGAATCACGTTCAATCTGGCAAGATAATCTTGAAAACATATAGAGGCCCTCCATAATGCTAGATCAGCTTATTATTCATAGAATAATAGAGGAAATTAAGAATAACCCCAGGTTTCTCTTCAGGACTGTAGCCAAACTTAATGAGATTCTTTAATGATTAAATTATTACTATTAGAGACAAAATTAATCACCGCCTGCCCTCAACAGGTAACAATTTCTCTCCACATACAGGAATCTTAACAACTGTAAACCCAGATATACGTATACTTAGACTACTTTTCTGCAAACGATCTGCATCAGTTAACTTCGATAACTTCATCATCGAAGCCATCAGCCTGTCTCTTAGACCTCATCCCAACTAGGCTGCTTAAAGAAGTTTTACTCTTAGTTGACACTACTGGATATGATCAATCTTTTCTTTCTTTTTCAGGCTATGAACCATAGTCCTTTCAAAATAGCACCCCTTCTAAAAAAGCCACATTAAGCTGGTTTAAGTCCTACTTCAGGTCGATCTCAGTTTGTAAATGTTAACGATGAATCCTCCATGCACCCTTAAGTTAGTCATGGAGTTCCACAAGGTTCAAACTTGGACCAATTAATGTCCCATTAATGCATGTTACTAACTTCACTTCTTCTTGTGCTTTCTCGTCTCGCAGGTTCTCATGGATCCTGGTGGTGCCTGCTGCCGTGGTCCTGCTTGACCCCCACTGCTAATATTACTGATATTTATTTATTTATTTGCAGCTGCTCGGGTTATTAGGGCCCGAGCACTAAGCGCGCAACGACCCTATTGATATTATTATTATTTTTCTGCCAAAAGAATCGCATTTTTGGAAGCAAAACTCATGAAACTTGGCACAAAATTCAAAGGTAGGAGACATTTCCGTATTCCCTTATCCTTGGGCATCACATAATGTGCCCAAGCCAGGTAGGACCGACATGTATGAAAATTGGTACGCACGTGTATCATAATCAGACAAGCAAAAACGCCTCTTGGACCCATAGCCCAAACCCAGCAGCACACCCTGACGCGTGCAGAGTAGGAGGGCCTGTTCATCGCTGCTTGTAGCTTTAATACTATTATTATTATTATTATTACTATTATTATTATTCATCATCCCCCATCGTTGTGGCTATCATCGTCGTTGTTGTCATCATCTTCATCATCATCATCATCATCATTAGTCATTTCTACTAATATAGTTGTTGCTGTGCACCTTTGTCCTTCTGTCTTTACCACTCATCCCCTCTACCCCCCTCTCTTACCCTCTCTCTCTAATCCCAACTGGTCGAGGCAGTCGGCTGCCCACCTAGAGCTGGGGTCTTTTCAAGGTGTTATGCCTCTTAAAAGGAAGTTTTTCCTTGCCGCCGTGGCCAAGTGCTTGCTCGTGATGGGAAGTGTTGGGTGTCTTTAAATAATTTTTTAAGGAGTACGGTCTAGACCTGCTCTATTTGAAAAGTGTCCTGTGATAACTTTTGATATGAATTGGCGAAATACAAATCAAATTTAATTGAATATTAGAAAATTTTAATTGAGGGACTGGGTTTCAGCTTTCAGATTTCTTATTTTCCACAGAAGTTAAAAATGCCACAGGAACAATATACGCACCATTACTCTTTTGGTTTTGATATACATTAGAAATCAGAATCAGAAATACTTTGATCCCCCGGGGGGAAACTTGTTAATAAGAGCCTAAGAGATATAATAGATTAATAATAGCCTATCTATGAAGTAAATGTAAATCCAAACATAAGTGTCAACATATTCCACAGTCTTGCTGACAGAAATTAAGTTAAAATTAAAAATAGTAATGAGTTTTAAGATTGTGAATTACAAAGAATGACATAAAAATCGAGTGAATTGCCCATTGACCTGGGTATTGCACTTAATCCGACTTATAGCACATGACAGCACCAGTTTAATGACTAATAACTCAGAGTTTTGACACTCTGAGGTAGGAGTTGTACAGTTTGATGGCCACAGGGAGGAATGACTTCCTGTTCCGCTCTGTGGTGCATCTAGGCGGAGTGAGTCTCATACTGAAAGTACTCCTGTGTTTAACCAGTTCATTGTGGAGTGGGTGGGAGACATTGTTCAAGATGGTATGAATCTTGGACAGCATCCTCCTCTCTGACACTGCTGTCAAAGAGTCTACCTCCACTCCCACAACATCACTGGCGTTACGGATCAGTTTATTGAGTCTGTTAGCATCTGCTACCCTCAACTTGCTTAGCAGACAACAGCAAACAGGATAGCACTGGCCACCACAGACTCATAGAACATCCTCTGCATGGTCCGACAGATGGACCTCAGCTACTTCAGAAAATAGAGACGGCTTTGGCCCTTCCTGTACAGGGCTTGATTGTTCTTAGCCCAGTGTAGTTTATTTTCTGTGTGAACTCCCAGGTACTTGTAATCCTCCACAGTGTCTACACTGACCCCTTGGATGGAAACAGAGGTCAGTGGAGCCTTGGCCTGTCTCAGGTCCACAACCAGTTCCCTAGTCTTTGTCATATGGACCAGTCAGTCAGTCATTCAGTCAGTCAGACAGACAGACAAACAGTCAGACAGACCATAAAAATGTAGTTAAATAATTAATTATCTGACATGATTAAAAAATCTTACCTGTATGGGTTTGCCTGTCACAGGGTTGGTGACCTCTCTGGCTGCTATTCTCATACCCAAAGCAAAATTTGCCACTCTGTGAGAATGGGTTTCTGTCGGGACTGGAACGCCACCCACCACCATGTATGCATCACCAATAGTCTCTACCTTTGAGAAACCAATAAACCCCCAAGACAATTCAAACAATATTTGATTGAGCAATGTGAAATTCTTTTAACCTCTTTTAACCTTTTAATGCAAAATCACCTATAATATTCAGCATGCCGTACCTATATTATCCACCCAATTATACATATACCAACAGAAGGGGAACATATACATATATTTTTTGTCTATATCACTTTATTATTATATTTATTATTAAGGTTAGATTTTTTATAGTTTTTTTGTTTTTGCGATGCTAATGAATATCTCAAGGAACCTCTTATCTCTCTTATCTTTATTTTTGCCATCAATGCTGAATCTTTAGTTTAATGATAAAAGTTCAAATGGGTTCAATGAGGAATTTGAAAGAATCCAGATTTAAAACCAAGCAACTACTACACATGTAAATTTAATTAAAAGAGGGATTTTAGTGCTGAAGGGTGGGGGAGAACCCCTTACAAAGATCAAGACAATATAAAAACTATACTGTAGACATGAAAATCTGAGTAAGCACAGGTGGGAAATGGCAGAAAAGGCAACCTTATCCAGTACAAGAGTGCAATTTAGCTTCAACACAATAGCTTTCTTTTTTGACCATAAATAGCCTTTAGAAATTTTTAGAAACATTTCAGCCATTAGAATATCCAACCAAAGCCTCATTCAGAGAGGACAAATGTAACAGGTGGGATAATACCTTGTAGATGTCATGTATATTGGTGAGTCTGTCGAACTTGGAGTACATGGAGTTCAGCATATGAACAATATGGATGGGCTCACAAGCAGCGCAGATGTTCGTGAAGGTCACCACATCACTGAACAAAATAGTGCACACCTCAAAGTCCCCTAAATAAAAAAAAACACTTTGACACAGCAACAGACAGATTTTAGACATAGACCACTTGATTGATGGACAGACTGACCTGCTTTTACACTCTTCCCATCTTTAAGCTGATTGGCTATGTGGCGGGGCAGCATGGCATACAGCAGAGTTTCTGTCTTGTGTTTTTCAGCCTCTAGGTGCTGCGACAGGATTCTCAGTTCCTCCTACAAACATACACACACACACACAAAATAAATTATATTTTCCTACCAGTGAAAAGACTAAAGCATAACTACTGTACAAATTTCAGATTTAAATTGGAAATCAACACAAACTGCAAATAGGCTAGGAGAAGTGGTACAACTGGGTGTAACAATTGTGTGCAATGTGGCACAATCTGAGACTGCGGATCAGTTTATTGAGTCTGTTGGCATCTGCTATCCTCAACCTGCTGCCCCAGAAGACAACAGCAAACAGGATAGCACTGGCCACCACAGACTCATAGAACATCCACAGCATGGTTCGACAGATGTTGAAGGACCTCAGCCGCCTCAGAAAATAGAGACGGCTTTGGCCCTTCCTGTACAGGGCTTGAATGTTCTTAGCCAAAGTGGTACAACTGGGTGTAACAATTGTGTGCAATGTGGCACAATCTGAGTACCACAAGCCTGTAGCCTAAGGCAGATGGTGTGAGGTTTTTTTAAAACATTTAAATTGTACAGTGATGATAGAATACAGAATATTCCAATACATAAGAAAAAAAAGCACAAAATAAATCAAAGCAGCAAACAGCAATGATCGGACCCTTGCACTCTACATGTGTTGCAGCCCCGTCATGCACCAGCGTATCATGTGTGGACCACATCATGAAAATTTCACTTTAATCAGATCAAGATCTGAGGAAGTAAGCCACACAAGGCTGCCTGTTACCAGTAGGTGGCGCCATCACTATGACTGAAAATTGGCACGTACATTTGTTAAGGGTGAGTCTTATCAATTATGTAAAGTTTGGTGGAGATTAGACCATGTACGCTGTTATGACAACTTCCTGTTACATGGAAATATATTGTATAACTTTAAATTGCAGTGGCCAAATTTAAAGCCGATCTGATGAATTCCCTAGGAGGAGTTCATTAAATTACAATGCTTGCAAGAAAGAGCACTTAATTCTAAAAGACCAACTTCCTGTTGGGAAGAGGGTTTTTTTCGTATGTCTGGCCATGATACATGTGCCTATCAATGTTCATACATCTGGGTGAAACATGCCGCCAGGGGTGCTGTAGAGCCATTTTACCACACCCATGCAGACCAAACTCAAATGTGAAACTATATGACTTTTGACATTGTGTGGCAATTTTTGTGAATTTAAATAAGTAAATAGCAACATTTGCCTTGTTCCCACAGCAACAGTGGGAACAAGATTCATAACATGTCAATATCAATGTCTTAAGGGTCATCCGACCAAATTTTATTTTATGTGGGACCAAAAAAGTACGTACATTTTCACCACCACTTAAGTTTGTGCAGAGTTTCATGAGTTTTCAAGCATTTCATGAGTTTTCAAGCACCAAAAATGTGATTAATTTATTTAATTAATTAATAAAATCATAATAACAATAATAATTAAAGCTGCAAGCAGCATTGAATGGGACCTCGCAGCCGGCGAATACAGACTTGCTGTGAAAAATGCTGCAAAATGTTTTTTTCCTCTAATATATTTAAAGAGAACAATTTAATTTAAATTTTTTTATACATCAGCGGTTATTAAGTGTGATTATTGATTGGGCGGAATTCGACACATCGGTACAGGCATGCCGTTCGACGCAATGCCGTAAATAGCACAACTTTTAATCATGAATGTCTTTGATTGCGCTGATTAAATTTGAAGTTGATCCGATAAATTTTCTGGGAGGAGTTTGTTAAAAAAAAAACACCCAAAATCGCCAAAAATGACCACGAATATTATGGAATATTTTGGAATTTGGCCCCTTGTGGGACTATTTAAAGGAAGTATCTTAAAGAATATATTTTTATAAAAGATGTTTTTCTTTTAGCGGGTTTTAGACAAGTGAAGTTTGGAGCCGAATGGGACAGTGTACAATCAAGTATAGCAAATCTGTGTTTGTGGTGGTACATAAAATTTCAACAACGGACACAGACAACACATTCATCACATATCATTAACAATGTGTTTTGGCATTTTATATAGTAAATTTAAGCTGGTCTGCTAGATTAGAACCATGAAAATATAAAATTAATTTTTTCACCACAAGGTGGCGCTGTACTATTACTTGACGTTATCACATTGACGTCTTCAGGGTGGACATCTTATCAGACATGTGACGTTTCGTTGCGATCGGATATGTTGCCGAGAAGTTATGACAAATCCTCTTTTAAATGGCAAAAGGTTCGAAAATTGGAATGCCACGGGACGCCACATCCATGGTGTTTTTATCAAACTTTTTAAATGAAATTCTTTTTTTTAGATGGTGTGGTTTAAAAATCTGAAGTAGGTCCGATAATTCCCTCGGATTTCGTTGGCAACAAATCCAAAATGGCCGACTTTCTGTTTAGTTTGAGGTCTTTGGTCAAACGGGGCAGTTGCTTTGGTTTATTTAAAAGCTGTAAAGCAGCGATGAAACGGTTCTCACACTCCACGCAAATCGGGTTGTGTGCGACCGATCAACATGCTGTTTGTAACACAATGAAATTTGCGCGAAATTTGGTGGTGGCGCTTCTTTAAAAATGAAAAGTTTATATTCCGCATCAGCACAAAGTGATTGGAAACGAAACTTTGGTACGATGAATTGCCCATGGCTCCGCTAAAAATGTGTCAAACAATCCACCACTAGGTGGGGCGCTCTGGTGGCAAGGTTTAATAACTGTGCAGAGACCGTAATAAGTTATGAATATGAAATTCAAC